TTGCATTCCTCTGTGTCTCTGTGCACAGGGACGCGAAAGTGAATAAAATTCTGAGTGAAAGGCCAACAGGCACTGCGCTCCGCCCAGGCGCGGCGAGCCGCCACCGCTCGCCCCGCCCCGCGCCCCGCCCCGCCTCTCGGAGAAGGCCTGCGCGCCCCGCCCCGCGCGGCCAATCCGCGAGGATGTCGTCATCACCGCCCGCGCCCCAAGGCTTCATGGGACTTGTAGTTTCGTGGGGGCGGGGTGGGTAGTCTCGGGCGTTCCGGGCACGGGCTGTCCGGGCGCTCCAGTGAATAAAAGAAACTCTGCTCTCGGCGAGTGACCCGGTGAACTAGGCGTTTCCACCCGAGCTAGGAAGGGAATCCCCGATTCAAACTCTGAGCCTCGCGCCGCCGGAACTTTATCTCACCGTTTCTTTGTGTGCAGAGCCTTTCAAATCTAGGACCTTGGAATCTGAATCCCGCGGCTCCCTCATCTCTTCGGTTTGGACCCGGAGCAGAGAATCTTTGCTTCGCGCTATTGTGGCGCAGCCTGCGGGTTATCTGTAGGGTTTATTATCTGGCTTCCCCAATTCCTGACCAGCAACACCTCTAAGCCCCCAGCAGCTCTCCTTTCTCCACGTCACACAGTCCAAAGCCAAAGATAATGAGTATTTTAGAGGGTCTGCTACGTAGAACCCCCACCCCCACCCCGGCCACACACGCGCGCGCACACACACATACACACACACGCACACACGAGAAGGATGCTTTAAAAAAAAAAAATCTGGGATTGAAAATATTAAGGTTTGTGCTACAAGTTTGTGTCCTACAAAATTGCAAGCATCATGTGAGCGGGAATTATGACCATAGGAATTTAGACAGTAAGATTTGGATTTGGGCTTGACTCTGCTTAAATCGCCTTGACAAGTCACACAGCCTCTCTGCACCTCGGTTTTCTCGTCTGTAAAGTGAGTAAAAAACAAGCTACTCACACACTGTTACAATGAAAATTAAATGAAATGATTAAATGCTGAATGTGAAAGCACTTTGAAACCTATAAAGCCCTGTAGAAGTGTAAGTGGCGATGGTTACCTTCTTCATCCTTTAGTCAGTTCTCGCTTAATGGACAATGAATGAAGAAGGGCAAACAGCATTCCGTTATACTAATTTAATCCTTTATTATTCACTGTCTTAGACTAATTCTTTAATTGTTTGTGGGTGTATTCAGGCCTTTTTCATTCACTTGTGGCAGAAGTCCAACCAGATCAAACTCTTGGGAAAGTGGCGTTTACTAGCTCAGGTAATGCAGAAAAGCAGGCAAGTAGCTGGGGAGTCCCTGGGTGGTGCAAATGGCAAACATGCTTGGCTGCTAACCATGTTAATGAAAAGGAGGGAGACCACCCAGACATGCCTCAGAAGAAAGGCCTGGTGATCTATTTCCCAAAAAATCAGCCATTGGAAACCCTACAGAGCACAGTACTATTCTGACACCTGGGATCGCTATGAGTTGGTGTCAGCTCAGTGGCACCTGGTATATAGCTGAAGAGTAGCTGAGGACGTCTGTGACCAGGACCTCCAGGCTGCTAGGGCTATTCATCTCTGCTTCTCCTTTCTGAGTTTTAATTTCTAATATGGCAATATCAATAGCTAAAACTTGCATCAACAAAAGTGCTCTGGAGTCCTCAATAATTTTTGAAAGGATAAAAGAGTCCTGAGACAAAAATGTTTGAGAACCACTGGCCTAGACATATTGGAGGAGGTTATTATGGAAACCAGTGAACTCAGCCGTTAATGGAATAAGGAAAAACTTGGACAGATAGCTAAACAAGACAGCGACCTTTTCTAAGACAAATATTGAGTGCCTTGTGACTTCATGTACAATGTCAGTGATACTCCATTCTTTGTCCTGCTGTGGCAGAAGACTCAGTTGACCCTAGAATCACCTTCACCTTCTACATGAATAGAAGATGGAAAGCGTCAGCATTAAGTAATACTTACTGATCATACAGTACCCAGAGAGCTGCCACTGCCTCTAACCTAATGCCTAATTTCTAGAACCTACTTGATGGGAACAAAGCTCTGATGAGGTCAAAGTCACAGTTTTCACCCCCTAATAAGGAGGGGAGAAACCCTGGTTACGTAGTGGTTAAGAGTTAACGTCTGCTAATCAAAAGGTCGGCAGTTTGAATCCACCAGGTGCTCCTTGGAAACTATATGGGTGGGGCAGTTCTACTCTGTCCTATAGGGTCACTATGAGTTGGAATCGACTCTACAGCAATGGGTTTTTTGGTTCAGTGAGGAGGGATTCTGCCCTTTGGCACAGGCTAAGTCCCCTTGCCCCAGCCAGTCCTTGGGCAAGCCTGTGAACTTGGACCCAGCGAGGATTTGAAGGAGTGTGGACAGCTCAGTGGTACACCTTCATCCTCATTCCTGGAGAAGAAAAAGAAAATCTTCAAAGATAAGTAGAAACTTCTTTCTTTTTTAAAATGTATACTTATTAAAATAACATTCAGTCCCACCATCTGTGTGCAACTATTGACATTCTCTTTCTGTGTGACTCAGAACACACCAATGTGGTAAAGAGCTTACATTTAGAAGGGAAGCTAGAGTTAGGAATTTTAAAGTCCCTAAATTTCCTTAGGGGAATTTTGTTAACTAATGGGAATTTTAAAAAAATAATTGTTTTATTTTTACTTCCCTGGTTTTTCTCTACTACCAAGTGTGTATAGTATTGGGACTTTCTAGCTGTTAAGTTTGTGTGCCACTGTTGAACCACTGAAGCATTTTGATGTATTGTCATCACTTCAAGAAGAATCAGATTTTTTTTCCGTTTGATGTATAATTGACTTTGATGTTTTTGTACATATTTTCGTATTTTGCACAACAGCATGTTTGTAGAGATCAGATTCTGGTGGTAGTAACTGAGGACTATTTAATCAAGGCAATTTGCTTAAAGGGTTGGTCAATAAATGTATCCGTAGATCTGAGGGTGCCTCAGCTATCAAGATGCCGTTGTCCCTTCTTTCTCCAAGTGGTACCAGTGGATCTCTTTCTAAAAAAAGAAAAAAACTCCACATTACTATGTTCCAAGGAAACCATATCAATACTTTTTGCCAGTTGTCCAAACTCACCCAGGAAATGCTACATCACTGCAGACTACTAGGCAGACCTGCACATTCAGTTCGATTCAGCAACTATTTATTGAAACCGTCTATCGGATCCGGAGCCCTGGTGACACAGTGGTTAAGACTCGATGGCAGCGGGTTTCGTTTGCTTTTCTTATAGGGTAAACATTGTACATACCAACATGTCTACAGAAGTCTAGATGTCCAAGGATTTTTTCCTCTGTGGTTTTTGTCAGGCCAGCCAGCACTCTTTCCTCCTCCTTTTGGGAAGCTTCTCCTAACCCACTGATGGCTCTGAGGTACTTCACTCCTCCAGACGACCGAGATGGGCATATGACACAGGCTGGATCAATCTGAGTTCTTCCCTGTGAATTTTCTAATGAGGCGGGGTCATGATGCTGAAAGGTGGTATGCTTGGTGTGAGGTCTGGTGAGCTTCAGGCTGAGTTTGATCAGGGCTTTAGTTCATTTTCCTGTTTTCTCTTGTTCTTGCTCTTCTCAATAGATTTACTTTGTCCTCGGGCTGGCTTTCCTTGTGGTAGCAAGCCTCGTGGTAGTGCTGTATAATTCCAAGGTAAACTACCTCCTATGGTAGTTTATTCATCCTGGGTCAAAGACCCCCCAACCCCAGAATCTACAAACATATTCTTGAGGGTCTGTGTGTTCCCTATGAAGATTTTTCAAATTAATATAAGCATCTTTAACTGGTTTCAGTTGCTCCAAAGTGCTTCCCTGTCTGTAAGTGCAAGAAATATCACCTTTCTTAATTCCTTAAATCAAATTAAATTCGACTGAGACTCCCTAGGTGTCAGTCATTATTGGGAATTCCCCTCCCCTTACTTGCATCCTACACGGATCCAGGAGTTTACATGGCCCTGAAAAATTAGGGGTAAAGCCGCTTCTGGGCATCAGTCTGCACTTGTCAGCATGGATGCTTTTGCCCAACCACGCTCCAGCGCTGGTCTTCAGCCCTCTGTCGAGCACAGCTGTCCCAAAGATGTCCTTCACGATGGTTATTTTCACTGCTGATGGCTTAGCTGTTGAACAAGTCCTCTCTCTGTTGTCTAATAGTTTGTGGACCTCTTTGTCTTTTCCCTTAAAACTTGGACTCTTTGGGGAAAGAGACATTGCTGATTTCTCACTGTGCTCCCAGCATGCCTGGCATGAAGGCTGTCACATAGTAGGCGCTCAGCTAAGTTGTTGAATGAATGAAGTGAATGAATAAACATCTATCATGCCAGCATTCTAGTTATTTAAATAACATCTAGACAGCTTTAGTTTATTGTTTTCTGTAAGACCTAGGTATTTGTGGCCTTACCAATACCTTTCTGATTATACTCTGCCTTGTATTTATGTTATTCATTCTGTAAGTACACTATTCATTGCTGTGTTTAAGAAATCAGTGTGATGATATGTTACTTCTCTAGCTTGTCAAGATTACATTGAATGATAAACCCTCAAAAATACAAGTTTCTCCTATCACCTCTGTGGGATCCAAAAACACGCTATTTGCTTAGTGATCTTCCAGTGGGATAATTCTCTAATTATCCTCATCAGAGAGGAACAAACGGTACTCTTTCCACCCACTAGTATTTCCTGAGCAGTCGCTGGGTGAATAATGTCCACTCAAACAAATATTCATTAAGCTCACACTATGGAACCAGCTCAGCAAGGCCACATGAGGACACAAAGAGATCTAGCAGTGGTCCCTGCCCTCAGTTTGCTTCCCGACTAGTTGAGGGCAGAGCCCACAAGTGCAAAGTCCAGCGGTAAATGAGAAGCAGTTAAATGACTGGTACACCCAGCATTGATTCTGATGGACCAGTGTCCATTCCGATTGGTCAGGCAGCCATTCTAATCAGTTAGACGTCCATTCTGATTAATTGAATGTCCATTTTGATTGGTTGGGGATACATTCTGATTGGTCGGGCACACATTCTGATTGGTCAGGCCGCCAATCTGAATGGTCAAACGCTCATGCCATACTGGTTGTTAAATATTTTGCATATCACCACTTGATACAAAAGTTAAATAAAAATGAGATAATAACAAAAAAAAATTGCTACATGAAAGTACAGTATCTACTTGACTAACGAATCTCTACAAACCATGTCAGTTTGGTATAGAGAGGATGGGAGGAAATTCTGCATCCCTCAGCCTGGATTAATGAACATGACTGAATGAAAGACTGTCTCTGGGATATGCCCCGAGAATATGAGTGGGGGTCAGGGTCAGTGCCCAGACGAAAGGGAAGCTCTTTTCTTGCCAGAGGTGGGACGGGGTAGGGTAGGATGGGAGGTGGGGAGTTGGGGTGGGTGGCCTAATCACCTCCAATAGAGAAGAAGTCACCCTAGTTGCAACTATTCTCAGTGGTTCCATTTCTGGATACAGTCCATCCCACAGAAAGGAGAGGTGTAGCTTAGTTTGCCTGGAGAGTAGAGCTTAATATCTCACTCTCCTAAAAGGTGGCTTAGAAGAAACCCATTCTCTTGAAGCCTCTTGGAGTCTTTCTTTCTCTAGTAATAAAACTTCTGACAATAAGTATGTTACTAAAATTCATTTATTTCATTAACCTAGGCATTGCTATGTAGGATTTTGTGTCAAATATGGCATACATGCAGTCAGTACTAGAGGTTTTGGGTAAAGTTTCTTGTAAACTTGAGTGATTAAAGAAAACCTTTGGGGCAAACTTTAAAATGGACTCTGGTCCAATGGCTAAGTCAAGGTGTGCTGAAACTCACAATTGGCATCATAATAAGCACTGGGATGCTTTAGGTAGCGAATAACAACACAGTCAACTCAAACTGGCATAAATAATAAAGCTATCTATTTAGTCACATGCGAAAAGACTCAGATACAGGTTTAGCCACAGGTGAGGCTTAATCCAGCAGCTCAGATGACATGCCTGGGACCTGGTTTCGCAGCAATACTCCCCACACTTTTTCAACAGGCCTGCCCCATGTGGTTGTAAAATGCCTTCCTGAAGCTCCTGGGATTCCGTGTTTCCAGATTCAAACACAGCAGGATAGGGAGAATCCTCCTCCCCAAGAGCTCAAACAGATGCCCTGGAATTGAGTTCCAGAGCCCTGACTGCCCGTCCCTGAACCAATCACGGGAGCGAAGAGAATGACTTTCTCTAAGAGAATGACCAGTTGGCCTAGGTCATTCTAACCCACAGGGTTCTGTTAGAAATACTGAAGACAGGAGAAGATGACCCCGGGGAAGCAAGGAAAACTACTACCTGTGCTTAAGTGTCAAATGCATATTGATATTCACATTGAGTGTTGAAACGTGTCTGACTCTGCTCGAATTTCTGGAGAAGTCATGGAGCGGAAGCTAGGAAAATTCTGACTTGTCATTCTCCTGAACAGATGAATTGATGCTGAACTGAGAAGAAGGGGCAAGAAGGAAATATTGTCTCCTTGAAGAGGGTATAAGTGATCCAAAGCCAGAAATCACATGTCACTCAAGCACTTGGACACCTGGTCCCTTTTCTACCCGACTTCAGCAACCAGCTAAGGTTAAAGGGCCTGTGAAAATGTTGGCAGCCTCGAGATCGCTGACTTCTTTATTAGACTCTGACAAGTCTGTCCTGGGACTTGGTAATGGAAAGAGAATTGGACTGAGCATCAGGTGACCTCTGTTTCCAGCTCTGCCACTAACTAGCTGTGTGACTTAAACAACCACAATAACCTCTCTGTGCTCAATTTCCTTATCGTAAAACAAGGGGGGCTGGATTATATAATCCCTTTCCATCTATAAAATCCTCTCATTCTTGGATACAAATTCTCATAACCGATGCCCTTTGCGGTAAGATGGATCACTTTTGTGTGGCCTTTCTAGCCATGGTCTTGTAACTTCCACCCAAGTGATTCGGTGGGACTGTGTGATAGGGTAATTGCAGCCCACCAAGGGGATTGGTTAGTTTTGGCATCCTGCTGGGCTTGAAATAAGCCACCCCAGAGGCAGGAAAGAAGAGAAGAGCCCACCACCACCAAAGAAGGAGAGACTCACAGGAGACAGCAAAGCTAAGTGCCTTTGGGCGGAGCCTGAGGGCCAGGGAGAGGTGTGCCCCGCAAGCACGGCTGGGAAGAGGCTGTCCTGATGAAAGAACTGTATCTTTGAGTGTTCCTGAACCTGAATTGTAACCTGTTACTTCCCTAATAAACCCCATAATCATGAATATGGTCTGTGAGTTCTGTGTGGCCATTGCAATGAATTATGGAACCCAGAAGAGAAGTAGAGAGTGCCGTGGGAGGGATGGCTGGTGTCAGAATTGGTAAAGATGGTGGAGAGAGGAGGCATGTTTGACCTCTGCCTTATAGGAGTCAGCCTTAGGCTGTTGATCTTGGTTCTTCTTCCCCCTTTTGAGGTTGGAGGAGGTCAGATACCACCCACCACCACCACCATTTTTTACAACCTGAGATTTGCCCTGGGGGTTCTAGTCTTGGAGATATTGGTCTAGTCAGAGATGCTGGTCTCCCCAGGCCACTCAAGCACCTTGGTGAACCAAGGGAATTTATCAGCAGCCTCAGAGGCTTTGTGGGTCACATTGAGGCCATGCAGGGTGTGGTGCTGGGAAAGAAGTCCAAGACATCTAGTTCCTCGTTCTAAGTAGCAGTCAATTCACCCTTATGACTCAGTTATCGGCACTTCTCTCTTTCCACAGAGTGCAAAGTTTCAGCCATTTTTGAGGTGGCAACAATTTACTCTGTTGCCAACGTACTGAGATAAAAGAAAAATAAAATTCTGCTTTGTATTTTGAGCCAAATCCAATCAGATTTCTGCCTCTAATTCCTACTTAATATGGATAATCATTTCCTGAATAACTTTAAGTGTAGACTTCCCCTCCCCCACAGTTTAACAGCAACAAGAGCTTATTATAAACAGAGTTAATTAGGAAACACGTTCAGTTGCTCCAGAAGCTATATTAAAACACCCCATATTTTTGTGAAATCTCTTGCTCCCACTTTTCTGCTAGAACAGAAGAGTTAATATGAAATCCAGAAGAACTCTTTGGTTACTCATTTTTAAGATTTACGATTATAAATGATCATGATAGCCTAACAGAATGTTGAAGAAACAAGGCTGAATAAGTGGTTATTTGGGGGCCAGAATGAATATTTGGATTAAGAAGAACTGTTCATGAAATCCCAGTCACATAGTCATTTCCCACCTATTAACTTTCTGAAACTCGAGGAGCTATGTGGCCTAATTAGGCCTGTTTGGGGGATTGTCCCGACATCTTATTTCTGCAATGAACGGCATCACTTGGGATGTCATATTCACTGAGGCTTTTATGACAGGGAGAGGTCTCCATATGTCTCTACAGCAGAACATTTGTGTTTACCATCTGCTGCTCAAGAGCAGTTTTGTAGAGAAACCATGCAAATAGCTGGGGCCTTTAATGACTTTGGGGCTGGGCTGTATTAGATTGGGGGCTGTGGGACGGCCACTGCTGGGCGAAGACTGCTGTTTACTTTGCCACCAACCGAATGAAAGAATTCTTTACAAACAGCACGGAAAGAAACTGAAGCCTAAAATTATTTGGGGCCTTTTAACTTGAGGGAAAAACCCTTGTGAAGTGAGGCATGAGACTGCCTCCGCTGGCATTAAGGAGACGCTCTCTGGGATATGGGGCTTTGGGGTCAGTGTAGCAAGCATCACTTCTCTTTTCCTCGTTCTGACACCAAAGGAATATGTGACTCATGTAACACTTAAAAAAAAAAAAAAAAAAAAAAAAACTAAAGACCTCCTTGAGCTCAGTATCAAAAAAAGCTAATTTACTCAGAGTCATGCAGGAGCTAATTACCTGGGTTTGGGACTCTGTAGCACCTGCTTCCCCTTCAATCTCCTCTCATTAGCTTCTGGAATTGTCCGTGTTTGTCTCCTCAGTAACATCCCCACTAGACTTCAGATAAGCACCACTAGGAGAAACGTATTTCAAACCAGCTTTGGTTAATTAGGAGTCACTTTAACCAACAGTGGTTAACCAAAAGTACAAACTCCAGCGCTCAGGGATTATGTACAGATTTCAATTACTGATGACCTTTCCAGCTCTCCTCACAGCAGTTTATTTACTGGAGTTATTAGAACAATAGAATGTAAGAAATTGACAGATGAAATGGACCTACTTTGGCCGCTGACTAACTGTGAGATCCTTGGCAGGACATCTAACTTCAGAGGACCTCTGACTTCTGAGGCTATTTTCTGCTTTAAGATGATATAAAAGCAACGAGATTGTTTACTCCAATGTTTCCCAAAGTGTGTACCTTAGAACACTAAGTAATTTAGCAGACGTTGATAGGCAATACTAGAAGAAGGTATTCCCCAGTCAAACCCTTTTGAGAAGGGCTGCTATACTAGTGTTTAGACTGTGTGACTTTTCAGAGCCGTTTAAATGCTGATATGTGTTGTGAATCTCCACAACTGGGTGCCACACACAGCTTTCCTCATGCTCCTGCTCAAAAATCAAAACAAGAAAACCAAACCCGATGCAGTCGAGTTGATTCTGACTCATAGAGACCGTATAGGACAGAGGAGAACTGCCCCATAGGGTTTCCCAGGGTTTCCTTTTGGTCAGCAGCCGAGCTCTTAACCACTGCGCCACCATGGCTCCTCTTGCCCACAGAACCCTTTCTGATGGACCATCTTAAGTGACCCATGTTCTGCAGAATATATGTCAGGAAACCTGATTTAATCTAACCCCCTAGCTTTAGATGTGAAGATACTAAAATTATAAAGGGCTACTGTCAAGATGACAATCAGTGTGTTTACAGGAAGCTATAGGGAAGGAAGACAGCCTCTATTACCAGAGTTCCCAACAAGCTGAACGGAGAACACTGTCCTTGCCTCCCAGGTTTCCCCAAAGTCTAGGGACAGGGCTGCCTTCTGCCCTCCTCTCCCCCCACTCCCCCCACCATCATCATACCCACAGAAAGATTAGCCAAGGGCAGCGGAGTGGGGGAGTAGGGGGTGTGCCGCGTGGCTATTTCTTTCCCATCTGGGACAGCTGCTTTACCACAAGTCCTTGGGGACTGCCAGACACTATAGTAAACTGAAATGAAAATCATCTTATATGCACAAGTAAATATACCCAGAATTCTGAAAGCACAAAAAAAGACTAGATTCTTAAATCAACATTCTGCATGCTGTGTTTTTGAGAAAAAAAGACCAATGTCAAGTAATCAAGCTAACATTAGCGTTTTTTCCCCTTTTGTATTGCTCTGTATTTTGAGTGAGTTATAGGATATGTTAGAGGGTCCCATCATACCCAGCTAATTTCCTGCACTGACATTTCAAGTGCTGTAAAATGATCTGCACAATAAAATATTTTTAAAGATGGATTATTTAAATTTCTTGAGGGCACAAATTATATTCACATTGTATCCCAATGATGAACACAGGGCTTGGCATCTAATAGGCACGTGGCCATAAATAAGTTTGCATCAATTAGTAAATTATAATCTAATGATTGTTGGTTAGTTGCCGTCCAGTTGGCTACAACTCATAGCCACTTTATGTCAACAGAACAAAACAGTGCCCGGTCCTGCGTCATCTTCATGATCATTAGTATGTTTGAGTCCTAATTGAATAATTAGACTTTAAGAAAATTGAACAGTGGTATCTACCCCATTGCCATCAAGTCGATTCGGACTCATAGCAACCCTATCGGACAGAGTAGAACTGCCCCATAGGGTATCCAAGGCTGTAAAGACCTGTAAAGACTGCCACGTCTTTCTCCAGCGGAGTGTCTAGTGGGTTCAAACCACCGAGCTTTCGGTGAGTGCTTGCTTAACCACTGCACCACCAGACGTTAATGAGACTAATGATTTTGTGCCTTTTCAAAAACCTCAAAGATAGATTCCTTAACCTATCATGGTCAAAAACAAACAAACAAACCAAACCCATTGCCACTGAGTCAATTCCAACTCATAGCAACTCTATAGGACAGAGCAGAGCTGCTCCATAGCATTTCCAAGGAGCAGCTGGTGGATTTGAGCTGCCTACCTTTTGGTTAGCAGCCATAGCTCTTAACCACCATGCCAGCAGGAATCCTTATAAACAGGGGCTATTTAACACTTCTTATTTACCATCTACTGTTTTCATATACAATTGCACGCTGATGTGGCATTTCTTTTAGGTGGTAGTAGTAAGTGGGATCATTCTTCTATTTGACTTTTAAATACATGCACATAGACTCAGAATTGGGATGAATTGACAGAGATCAAGTCCTATCTTCTAGTCGTTGCAGAAACCCCCTTACAGCCACTCAGCCTCAACTTAAGCATCCCCACAGATAACACACATGATAGCACCCCTGAACAAATGTGTGATCCTAGAGGGCCTTCTGAATCACCAGAGAAGTGTGAAGTCATGATGGTGAATGATAGCTCGTATTCAGTATTTTCATTCATTTAATAAAAACTGTTTTTTTAGCATCTACAATATATAAGGCAACTTGCTAGGTACTGTAAGGAGAATTAACAAGACAGGAAAGAAAGAAAAGACCAAAATGGATGTCAGAAGAGACTCTGAAACTTGCTCTGGAACGTAGAGCAGCTAAAGCAAATGGAAGAAATGATGAAGTAAAAGAGCTGAATAGAAGATTTCAAAGGGCATCTCGAGAAGACAAACTGAAGTATTATAATGAAATGTGCAAAGACCTGGAATTAGAAAACCAAAAGGGAAGAACATGCTTGGCATATCTCAAGCGGAAAGAATTAAAGAAAAAATTCAGGCCTCCAGTTGCGATACTGAAGGATTCCGCACAGTGGTTAAGAGCTCAGGCTGCTAACCCAAAGGCCGGCAGTTCGAATCCACCAGCCGCTCCTTGGAAACCCAATGGGGCCGTTCTACTCTGTCCTGTAGGATTACTATGAGTCGGAATCAACTCGATGACAATGGGTTTGCTTTTTCTGTTGTTGTTGTTGTTTTATGGGCAAAATATTAAATGACACAGGAAGACTCAAAAGAAGATGGAAGCAATACACAGAGTCTCTGTACCACAAAGAATTGGTGGAAATTCAACCATTTCAGAAGTAGCATATGATCAAGAACCAATGGCACTGAAGGAAGAAGTCCAAGTTGCACTGAAGGCATTGATGAAAAACAAGGCTCCAGGAATTGATGGGATATCAATTGAAATGTATCAACAAATGGATGCAGCAATAGAGGTGCTCACTCATCTATGCCAAAAAATTTGGAAGACAGCTATCTGGCCAACCGACTAGAAGAGATCCGTATTTGTGCCCATTCCAAAGAAAGGTGATCCAACAGAATGCGGAAATTATCGAACAATATTATTAGTATTACATGCAAGTAAAATTTTGCTGAAAAATAATTCAAAGATTGATCTTTGAAGAAGAATTGATGCCTTTGAATTATGGTGTTGACAAAGAATATTGAATATACCACGGACTGCCAGAAGAAAAAACAAATCTGTCTTGGAAGAAGTACAGCCAGAATGCTCCTTAGAAGCAAGGATGGCAAGACTTTGTTTCACGTACTCTGGACATGTTATCAGAAGGGACCAGTCCCTGGAGAAGGACATCATGCTTGGTAAAGTAGACGGTCAGCCTAAGAAAGGAAGGCCCTCAACGAGATAGACTAATACGGTGGCTGCAACAATGGGCTAAAGCACATCAAGGACTGTGAGGATGGCGCAGGACCAGGCAGTGTTTTGTTCTGTTGTACGTAGGGTCGCGATGGGTCAGAACCAACTCAACAGCAGCTGATAACAACAACATGAGGAGAATAAAGATGAAACTTATACAGCCCATCCCTTAAGTAGCCTGTGGTCTTTCAGGAGAGGCAGGGCACACACGTGAAAAATTACAATACTAGGTAGAATTATGATATACTAGTAATGCACTGTTGTGTTCGTTTATATTTCTTTCAAAATTAGTTTATATATATTTCAAAACTGGTAATCTATAGTTAAGCAGATTACCCAGTTTATCATAACACCCCATTCCCCAGCAATTCTGGATAAACAGAAGGTTCTGACACTTGCTATCAGTGACATTGGGTTTCCCTAGCAGTCATGACCACCACCCATCTGTCAGTTTGTCGTACTGTGGTGGCTTGCATGTTGCTATGCTGCTGGAAGTTATGCCACTTGTATTTCAAAAACTAGCAGGGTCACCCATGGTGGGCAGGTTCAGTGGAGCTTTCAGACTAAGACAAACTTCTGAAAATTAGCCCGTGAAAACCTTATAGATCACAACAGAATACTGTCCAATATAGACCTGGAAGATATGCCCCATAGGTTGGAAGGCACTCAAAATATATAGTGGGCTCAATGACGGACTCAAGCATACCAACGATCATGAAGATGGTGCAGGACCGGGCGACGTTATTCTGCTGTACGTGAGGCCGCCATGATTCGGAGCCTGTTGGACAGCAGCTAACAACAACCGTGGTCATCGGCATTGCTGGAGAGCCAGGCTTCTCACGAGATGGCAGGACAGGCTCATCCCAACAGGAACTTGTTGACCAGCACTGAGTCACTTGCTTTGGATACACAATTCAGTTTAACTGGATGGGCAAGGAGAATGAATTACAATGACAAGGGACGCTGAATTGTGGTGGGGGAAGCTGCGGGGATGCTTGCAGGAAGCTGGACACTTGTGGGAGGCCAAGAGGCAGTAGCAGATAGGCCAAGTTATCAAGTGACAACCAGAAATGCGGTCAGTATGGGCACATGGGTGGTCCCTGGCTTTGCAGAGTGACTGAAGAAATGGTGGCTCTGTTGGGGAGAGGGCTGAGGGGACTAGAGGAGGACCTGCTGTCCACATCACGAAAGTGATCATCACTTGATGGTGTGAACCAACTGTTTCATTTTGATTCAGGCTGTATTTTCACCTCCTTTTTAAAAGCAAATCCTTTTTTAGGAAATTAATTCATGTAGCCATCCTCCAAAGATAGTTAAGGAAATGCATATTTCATATATCAGGAACAACGTTGTCAGAGAAGGTTAGATTAAAGGCCATGCCTGACCCAAGAATCCAGAATTCAGGGCTGTTCAAAAGATACACATTTTACACATTCCTTATTTACATCTTTTCTCATGAGAATTGATGATAAAAATACTTTTTATGTGTTCCTTAAAATTAAATGTAGTATTATTCATCAAAGAGGATATTCAAATGGTCAACAATGTTCAACATCATTAGCCATTAAAAAAAAAACAATAAACAAAACTCAGTGCCATCAAATCAATTCCAACTCCTAGTGACCCCACGGGGTTTTCCAAGGCTGTAAATCTGTGTGGAAGCTGAACTGCCACATCTTTCTCCCATGGAGCTGCTAGTGGTTTTGAACTGCCAACCTTTTGGTTAGCAATTAAGCACTGTAATCACTGCACCACCAGGGCTCCTTATTAGCCATTAAACCCATTGCCATTGTAGACTTGCTCCATAGAGTTTCCAAGGAGCAGCTGGTGGATTCGAACTGCCAGTCTTTTGGTTAGCAGCTGAGCTCTTAACCACTGCGCCACCAGGGCTCCTATTAGCCATTAGGGGGATGCAAATCAAAATCACAATAAGCTACCATTTTGATCTCATTAGAATGTTAATAATCAAAAAAATGAAAAACAACAAGAAACTAGAACCCTCATCCATTGCTGGTGGGAATGTTAAAATGGTAACACCGCTGTGGAAAACAGTTCCTCAAAAAGTTGAACGTAGAACTGCCATACGACCTAGCAATCCCAGTCTTAGGTATGTGCCCAGAGGAAGTGAAGGCAGGAACACAACAGAAACCTGTACACCAATGTTCTTTGCAGCACTTTTCACAATAGCCAAAATGTGGAAACGACCGAAATGTCCATCAACAGAGGAATGAATAAACAAAATGTGGTATACATACGATAGAATATTATCCCGCCATAAAGATAAAATGAAGGCCTGATGCGTGCCACAACAATGGATGAGCCCTGAAAACATTAGGCTGAGTGAAATAAGTGAGTTGCGAAAGGCAAATATTGTATGACCTCACTTATATGAAATAAGCAAATACATAGAAACCACAAATGATTGGTGGTTACCAGGGGTGGGAGGAAAGGGGCTTAGGGGGCATTGAGTTTATGTTAAATAGTAGTAGACTAATTTAGAAAAGGATGATGATAATGGCTGCACAACATGAAGAATGTAACCAGTATCACTGAATTTTATGTGTAGAAATTGTTGAATTGGTGAATGTTCTATGTATTTTCACCACAGTAAAAAATTAAATGTAGCAATAAATAATTAATTTAAACAAAATTGAGATATGGGTTAACAATATGAAAACTCTTATTTTTATTATGGTAAAATATGTATAACATAAAATTTGCTCCAATTCTAAGATTTTAGAGGCTATCTCTCAGGAACCTAGGACAAAGACAAAATTCTTTGCGTAAAGTTAGACATAAATCCCACATATGTCCATACCACATTTTGTTTATCCATTCATCTGTTGATAGACACTTGGCTATTGTGAATAGTGCCGCAGTAAACATTGGTGTTCAAGTATCTGTTTGAGTCTCAGCTTTAAAGTCTTTTGGGTATATACGCAGGAGTGGAATTGCTGGGTCATATGGTAATTCTATATTTAACTTTTTGAGGAAAGTCATAATTTTAACCTCTTTGCATCTCAAGCCAAGACTGATATGATGACCCTGATCCTGGCCTAGGTTTTTGATGAGGGAAATGATGTGGGCAGGGGTGTCTGTGTTGTCCTACAGCTTCTCACAACCTTGGTGACCCAGGGACCCCTTCCAAAGAGCAAGGTAGCACATGCCCAGTGGTCCAGGGAGTGCTGTTTCTCTTCTTCCTCCCACATCATCCATTTTGGGGGTGACAGTGTTAGTGGCCACCAAGGATCACTATCCAGAGTTTTGATATCTGGCTTTCTTGTGGAAGCTCAACCTCCCCAGTGAAATATTTACTTACAGAGCGTATTCATTTGGTTTCTGGCCCTTATAGCTACTTCCCAGAAGTAAGCTATTTGTTGGTTGGAGGCAGCAGATAAGACATTTAAAACAGGTCATGTCTCTTTGTTTATAGTTCAGGTAGAAATTATTTATGGTATCCAGGTCTATGCAGACTCTAGTTATTAATTCATACTTTTGGCCTATTTATTGTTTAGCCAGAACGTTTGGATTATTTATTATTTGGCCAGATTCATTTGCTGTTGGATCATGGCAAGACGGGCCCCTCCTCTGAGCCCCCCCATTTAGAGAGCCCTACCCTTGCCCTCAGAGCCCTGGTGGTGCAGTGGTTAAGAGTTCGGCTGCTAACCAAAAGGTCGACAGTTCGAATCCACCAGCTACTCCTTGGAAACCCTATGGGGCAGTTCTACTCTGTCCTACGGTGTCGTTATGAGTTAGAGTTGACTTGACAGCAACAGGTTACCCTTGCCTTCCTCTGGCCACTCCTCCCCCTGGGGCAAGGAGTCCACAGGCCAAACAGATTTACTCACCCAGAGCCATGCCCCCTTCTTGATCACACTCCAGGCACCCAGACCCCAGAATTCCCTGATGAAGGCCCTGCTTCCGGGACTGGTGTGGGCCTCTTCTCCTGGTTCGTCTTTCCAAGGGTGGACTGCACCATTGGTGTGGCACCATAGGCCCAAGAGTGGCCGAGAGAGACTAGGGGTGTGGCGGGAGCCTGGACATGTGTGCTGGGATCTACATGTACGTGTGTAAGTCACTTAATGATGCAGGACAGGCCTGGGGGTGGGAAAGAAGGACTAGCCCTGGGCTAGAACTGCTCTGCCTGAACCACCGTTCTGGTGTACAGTTCTGAGGGGCCAGAATATTCTAACTTCAGGCCTATTTTCTGGGTCATTATAAAGGTATATTTGTCAAGATAGGAGACTAGTTTGTTAGCTTCAACTGTAATTTTTAAATATTTTCACATATGGCATGTGGGCCTCCATTTTTACTCTTGCCCCAGGCCCCACAAATGTGGAACTGAACTATGCTTGGAACCGATCGATTTTGAATTTCTTTAAAATTTTAACATAAAGGATCAGGTAGAGGGTGGGCTGCCTTGTTACCAGGTCACATGTAGTATTGTTGCCAAGCAACGTTCCAACTACATTCCAACCTCCTGGCCCTGCTCCCCAGCCTGACAGGAGAAATTGTGTGTGCAAGTTGTACTTGTAAATATGTGAGTTGTATGTGTGTGTGTTTAGCACCCGCGGAGAACCAAAGATATATAACATGGCTGTTGTCAAATAATGCAAGCCCCACACTGATGTTCTTTCTGGTCTAGATGGCTGCTGTTTCCCTGCCAAGCTCTTCTTCCCAGATGACTTCCTTAAGCTTCTTGGAGTTAAGAGCGAGGCACTTTGAAGCCCTCTTCCAGGCAAAGAAGAATCAGCTAGAAAGGGAATCAGGCCAGGCTTCCTTGATTGAACACCACTTCACTTGAGCAAATCCATAAGCCTTTCTATCTGTTTTGTCAGCTGTAAAATGAGCAGGCTAATTCAGCCCTACCTCAGAGGGCAGCTAGTGGCAGGTTTAATTAATGATTGTGATGGGCTTTTTAACGTAAAGTCGTATATAAATGAAAAGCCGCACTAGAGCCATTTCATCCAAAGTCAGCTGAGCCTGGAGTGTGTCCTGCTTTCCACTGACACAGTAAAGCTTCTAAGTCCTGTTCACAGACTCCTGCAGACTTCCGGGGTTCAGAAAAGCACCGCTGGGCTGGGCTGATGTTACCTGAACAGAGAAGTGTGCGGTAATGGAAGTGAGGCGCAGAGCAAGTAATCAGAGCACGGCTCCGATTTCTGGATGGGCAGGCAGCACGAAGATCTGCTGGGGCTGCCTGGGGGCAGGTGACGGACTGGTTTCTGCAAGCAAAGTACAAAGAACAAAGTGCACCCATTATCCCTGGGACTGTTCTGGAAAGATCCTTGGGATCTTAAGTGTCACACTGAGAGGACAGGTCTTTCTGATGATGTCCCCTGTGCTTCTTCCTATTGTCCCCACCTCGGTTTGCTGGCTGACAGTTCATGTTGGTGGTGTTCTCTTCAGGGGCTGTGTTTACTGAGAATAAGCAGAAAGGGATCCATTTCTAGATCTAATTCTTCCTATAAAGTCTTGAGTCTTACAGGGTCATACTCCCCGGTTCAGTTGAAGACATAGCTATAGGATTTACCAGAAGTCATACTGGTCCTGCTGAGGATCACATCTGGGAACTGCTGGTTACTTTACCTGATGTGAAGGCCTGGTGGCGCAGTGGTTAAGAGCTCAGCTGCTAACCAAAAGTTCAAACCCACCAGCCACTCCTCGGAAACCCTGTGGGGCAGTTCTACTCTGTCCTATAGAGTGGCTGAGTCGGAATCGACTAGAGGGCAACGGGTTTGGTTTGGTTTTGTTTTTTTAGCTAACATGGGACTTCTGTCTCCCTCATGCTATTCATAGACTAACATTCACATGCAGCAAATCA